ACATATTTCCTAGGATTTGATCGTTAACATTAGGAGGCGTTTACTCATTTTATTTAAACAGAACACGGAAAAGTAGAAGAAAAACAGTAACTGAACTGAAAAACATCTAAAGTGAACTCTATAATAAAAAATGGTACAACAGAAATAACAATGATGAACAAACGTTAACAAAATTGAATGATATTATTGGGAGCATCTCAAAATTAAACAATCAGATACAAGAACTATCGTTAAAAACTGATAAATGCGACGAATCTATCACTCAGCAAAATCGAATGGTCAGAGAAACAGAAAAACAAATTCTTCTTGCATCAAGTAACATGAAAGAGTTTAATGCAAATATTAAACAGTTGGAAATAATCTTTAAACGTCATGAAAACTGTTTAAACAATGTGATATATCCTATTTTAACTGATGTAATTAAATATGTAGTTGAACATAATCAAATTAACAGAAGAAGTTTCCAATTAAAAGAGGAGGTTCGACTTTTACGCCGACCCTCTTCATAACGTATCACGCAGATATGGGAGACTTCCTAAGTTACTGTAGTTCCTTCTTTTTTGCGGACGACCTAGCTGCAGTTTTAGCAGGTAGAATTGGAATAAAATATACGGAACAATGTATAGATTTGGAAAAACGACTCAAACAATTCTTTGAATTGTTGGAAATGTACTCAGTCATAAGTCTGTAGCCAATAGATGAGTTCAAGAAATATTTCTTTAAAGCACTGAGATGGTTTGTTCAAGGCAATATCTCCAACTATGAAAATGGTAGCAAGGTTTATAGGTGTATCACACTTTTTTTGCTTTCCCGGTAACCGGTTTTTGTTGAAAAATAAAGGTTTCTGTTTTTATTGTATGTTTATGTTCTGTGTTTTGTTGTTACCAAAATAGAAATCAATCAATCAATAGGTTAAAACGATGATATCTGCCTACTATTTCGACTATTGACACATGTGGGCATATTTTTGATAACCTCGTCTGTAGCTTATTTTGAAGCCTAGAAAAGTCTCCATGTTACTATGTATGAGCTCTGCTCAAGGACTTTGAAATCGGATGATAAAGTTGGGGGAAAATGTAAATGGCTTTGGTTGAACTGGTGGCGAAAAATGAAAAGTAATTTTTGTTTGAAAGACAGCAGAAGGAATTTTTGAGAGTGATGAGCGGAAAAAGTGAAAGTGGAAGCATTTGCGATCATTTTGATTCAAAATCATATTGGGCCATTTTCTAGCAGAAATCGTTCCCCGTCCTTTAGCAACTAAGTTATTCGTAGTATTGATTTTATTTAACAGAACACAAGCATCCGAACAAGCAGCGTAACAAGGATAAAAAAATATAACAACAAAAAATAAAAGTAAAACGAAAAGGCGATAAAATAAGTTTATACATTCATTAAAACACATTCCACCATAAATAATAGACCATCCTCACCATCATCTAAACAGAGAAATAAAACACAACATATAAAAGTCAAGGGCAGACAATTCCAAAAATTGTGGTGGATCTCGTTTTTCCACCATGCTGTAAACCACAAGTTGCAGCAGCCGACGTGCCAATATCGAGAGTGAAAAAACTTGACGATCTAATACTTTTACGATCCTTTCCACTGTCGGCCTTGCGGGTTAATCCAAATCAAGATCTTCTAGAAGAACTTGACAGACTTGATCAACTGGATAAAATAACAAAAAGGCGTTTTGAATCTCGAGTGTAAATAGTAAACATTTTTATTATAGAGTTCACTTTAGATGTTTTTCAGTTCAGTTACTGTTTTTCTTCTACTTTTCCGTGTTCTGTTTAAATAAAATGAGTAAACGCCTCCTAATGTTAACGATCNTTCAACACGTCATATGTCATTGGATCTAATGCGATCATACACATAAATAAACAAAAATTTCCTGTTTCTCCATCCCTTTAAAAAGCTAAGCGCATACTAACACCAAATCATCGCTAAAAACCTATTTTCAGTCAAGGGTCAGTGAATCGAAGATGAACAATATTTGTAATTAATGGATAATTTTTTGATTTTGTATCAAGCATTAATTGTACTTATTTATTTCTATTCTCATTTTACCAAATAATAGTTTTGATTTTGTGAATATTGTGTATTATAAAAAATGCTCTCTAGGTCCACATTGTCTCTATCATTTCACGAAAAACAGTTGCGTCTTGCCAAGGTTGTACTAATTCCATTCGTTAAACTCTCCACTTACCTGTTTTGGTTCATTTTCGTTTTCAAGAGAACGCTGAGTATGGAACTACGAAAAAAATATTGATTTTCAGCAAAATATATAGAGATTATTTATTTTAAGCGTTTGACAAATTACATTTGTTGTCATCAGGAAATAACCAAAATGGAGCCCAGCACCATTGTCTCTATAGAAACGCCGTTGTTGAATAACAGAGGACGAGAATCAACGACGGAGTCGATATTTAGATAAAATCCGCGATTCCTCACGAGGTGATCCTCGTGAAGGAGATTTTTTGAAAGCCGGACGCGGCACGGGCGATGACGAGGGAAGAACTGTACGAGGCAGATTTTCGTATTGTGGAGCTTATAGCTTTTGAACGGCGAAACTAAACGAGCTGAAATTTTTACTGCACATACAGAACGTGGAGTTCCGCTAACAGAATAAATCTGGGTCGATTTGGTTCATCCAGTTAAATGTTATAAGCAAAATAACGGTTGCGACAGAATTTCAAAAAATGGAATTATATTTGGTGTATGAAAAGATTTGCATGTATCTCAAAAACGAAGAGTCTCAGAAAAATCTATTCAAAGGGTTTCGGAGAGGTGAAAAACCATTTTCGAAACTCTTTAGGGTTATTTTTATAAACTTTTATTTGTTCGGTGTGGTTTCAGCTTCTCGAATGCTCTAAGCGTTTTTTAAAATACATTTTTTTCTGCAGAGTAGACAAAATCCTACGCACTTTTCATCTATTTCTTAAAATCTAAGCGAAATCTTAGTAAGATTCTGGTAGGATATATCTATAATCCTGTCACGAAATCCTTAGGTCCTACGGATGCAGTTTTCGGCCTTGATACTCTATTTTGACCAGTGATAACGCCAATAGACAGTCTCATTGTGAGATCGTGCCGCTTTTCTCTTAAAACATACACCGTTCGACAGGGAATTCCATGACCTAAAGCATGGCGGAGTTATAAGTTCGAGAAAAGATTAACACGACTCCTACAATGCGCATTGCGCATTGCGCAATGCCAAAAAGTGAGACGAGTTTTCAGTGAGTAGCTTTTCAAAAATATGACTATAGTAGCAGTCAGAGCAGAATTATTGAGTGATAGCACTTTCGTCACGTTAATTTTCGTCGCATAGAAAAAAGAACTGTGGCCATACGTGACGAAAGCGTATGGTATTTGGTGGAGTACCACCCCACACTTTGGTCACAAGAGTGGTGAATTTTCGTAATCAACTTTGTAACACACCTACATACTTTCGTCACAACCCAAAAAGAACTATTGGACTACTCCAATTTGGACAAGAACTGCTTGCATTTGGACTACTGCAGTGTGGACCACCTCTGATCGAACTACTCCCAGTAACCGTTTCATGCAACGTATGACGAAGGTGCCGACCTGTCTGAAAAACCAGACACTTTCGTCACAAAAGCGGTTAACTTTCGTAATCACTATTCAACATGGTTAAACTTTCGTCACATGCAGGATGAATTTTTGTCACTGGACAACAGAACTTTCGTCACTGGACAACAGAACTTTCGTCATATGACGAAAACCATTACCTGATGACGAAAATTATGGTGACGAAAGTGCTGTGAACCGAAATATTCATACGAATCGAGTTCTTTGAATCATTCAATGATATATAAATAAAAAAGTAAATTGTTTACTCACGAAGATACTTGGCATAAATTAGAGACGAAGTCGGAAAAAGTCACTTTTCACGAAGGTCTTTTCTTTCAGATCTTCGTCGAAAAAAGCTCAACCCTTATCGGACGATTGTTCAAGGAGAAGATGAATGTTTATTTGTAAATCCATCATATTTCAGTTTTTTTTCAAAACTGATACGTGAAATTTTCTTTTCTCCCTGAAATAATCGTCTGTTAAATTAAGACCTTTTAACCTATGACTAATCCGATGCATTCTACAATTTGGACAGCTCACATTCTGCTCGGTGCAAATTTCAGTCAAGGTTTCTTGTTCTCTGATTTCTGAAAACAGAAAGACCCACACCAAAAGACCACGAACGTAAATAAATATAAGACTTGGAATTAGTATTGATAAAATGCTACGCATTACAGAATAAAAAACGAACGAAAAATATGGCTACATTTGATGATGTCCTCTCGTTAGCCTTGAATCATCTGAAGATCAAGTCAAGATCTTCTAAGATCCATAAAAAAGGAGAAGAGACTTATTACTATTTATTTATTGTGGAAAACTATTGTTGAAATTTTTTTCTGAGCATGACCCAGAGCTCAAAGTTCTCAGCCGCAACGAAGTCTGCCATGATATTGTGCATTAACAGAAGAAAATAAGTATGTTTCGTGTTTTTTTTGAGAGTATTATCTCTTTGTGATGATGTTTTGTTAATTGATCGATAGAACCAGTCATATGGGAAGGAAGTGTATTTATTTTTTTCCTCCTTTCTCTTCTCCATATTCGCGTTTAACAACGTTTATAAGAAATGGAATATAATAATAATAGTCTATATGAGTATGCCATCAACAACAACAACAACTCCTCAATGTATGGAAGAAAGCATCGATTTTCGTGCTGTTTTATTAAAAATTCAAGAAGACCTATCGAATGACGATCGCCGAAAACTTCACTTTTTATTCGGTGAAAATATTCCACGTCGTTTACGCGATGATCCATCTGTCGGGGGTACCTTGAGCCTATTAGAATCTCTATTTGACCATGCAAAAATATCAAATGATGACTTTATGTACCTTATCAAAGCATTTGATAAGATCGGATGCGAAGCTGCAGCTAAACGTTTGAAAGGTAATCCAGAGCTTTTTTACTAAACAATTTAACAAAATCGACTATTTTCTTAGCACATCGACAACAGAGTGAGCAGAAATGGCAGACTTTAGATGAGGACCGGCCGTCTTCTTACTCACTTATGGATGAAGCGATGAAAGCTATTCAAGGAGATATAATAGTAACCAATGCGACGGTACATGAACATCTTTTGAACAGCCAAGATGATACTAAACACAAAAAGCAGCCAGACTTAATTTTATCGACACAAAAGCTAGCTGCTGTTAATAGACGGCGTAAATCAGCGCTTCTGTCACTATTGAAAAGACACTGTAGGTGTCTTGTATTTGCAATAGCAGCGCTTGCGGTAATATCAATACTGATTGCTGTCATTATCAATTTGAAAAAGACCCGTGATGATTATCGAGCAGCATCGTTGAAACTGAAAAGTGGTATGTATAGAAGAGCATCATACAGGTTTATCTGATATCTACTTAGCTTCGATAACCTCAAAATTAGATGAACTACAGGCAATCGCCCATTCTGAATCTCATTAATGTTTATTTTTGAAAGAAAGGGAAACAACTAATGAAAATCTTGTTTTCTAAGAAAATCGATAGCGACCTGTTTTTATGAAAAATTAATAAAATCATTTCTCACTCAAAAGCAATATCAATGATCTCAAAATAGCACGTTAAATTCATCAAAATTAAATTTTAAATTTTAGTTGCTTATTATTTGTAACAATATTGTACTAAGTCAAACGTTTCGATTTATTAGCTAAGTTTTCTTCAACGGCACAAAAAATTAAGAAAAGATAAAATTAAATTTAATCAAGAACTTAAAAACATACTAGTACACTACCCGTGCGCTGCGACGACTATCGCTTCTCTGTTATAGTAAATAGTCTTTCTTTTCCTGTGATCCCCTTTTAATAATAAGGATAAAAACATAATTAAACATCAACCAAGACAAAATAAGGGAGCATTTCAAAATTCTTGCCGTTCTCTCTGCCGCTCTGCCGCTTTGCCGTTCTGCCGCGGCACAACGGATTTATTTTAATGACATTTCGATATATTATCGGTTTCTTTTGATGTATGTATAGTCGACATTTTTCTGTTTAAAGAATAAAATCAGAAAGGGACAAACTTTATATTTTCATCAAATGTTCATCTTTTATATATTCAAGGAGGAGAGTACCCACTGTAAACTTATTTCGTATTGCACCAACTTCGCGAACTAAAATTACATTAATTATAGAAGACCCATTCCCATTTTTTCTACTAGTTTAAAGTACACAAGTTGTACACGAAATTGATCTATATTTTAGAAAAGGACCCCTTTTCGTCTTTCAGAAATATAGCTGTGAATATCGTTTAAAAAAGCAAGTTTTTCTTTCCTCGACTTGCTGAGACTTCTTTTGCTTGTCTCGAAAACTTGTGTTTTTAAACGATAATCAGCGATATTCACAGTCATAGTTCTGAAAGACTAAAAGGGGTCCTTTTCTAACAAAATCAGACGACAAAATCAGTGGATACATACACCAAAACAGAAACTCAAAAGATCTTCAGCTCAAGCCAATAAAATGTTAAAACGAAGAAGACGTTCTCCTTCAATTGAATATTAATTAAGACGTTTGTCACATTATTATTTAATCATTGTCATTATTTTGATTAGTCAAGTTGAGAGAATTTTAATAAATTTACCTACATAAAGAAACTTTTATTCTTAAGTATAAAATTCATTCTTTTTCGAGAAAATGAATAGTCTACAGTTTAAGAATATTGAAAAGAAATAGCAAAAACATTTCGTGTATACGTATTACGTATAGATACATCAAAAGAAACCGATAATATATCGAAATGTCGTTGAAATAAATCCGTTGTCGCGGCACACATGTACTTTTCTTTTACAGTTTATCTTACTCTGACACTAATTAGAATTTCCTATAAGAGAAATTTTTCTATTTATCCGATTAAAGAATAAAATAAGACAAGAATAAATATTATATATTCAAGGAGGAGAGTGCTCACTGTAAATTTATTTCGTATTGCACCAACTTCCCGAACTAAAATTACATTAATTATAGAAGATCCATTCTCAATTTTTATACTAGTTTAAAGTACACGAGTTGTACACGATACTGATCTATTTTTTAGAAAAGGATCCCTTTTAGTTTTTGAGATATATGGCTGTGAATATCGCTGATTATCGTTTAAAAAAAGCAAGCTTTCCAATGACTTTCGAAATATAATTTCCCTCCAAATTTTGAGTAAACGACCTTGACGTATATGTGAGTAAAAACGATACTCTATATATACAAATAAGAAGAACATTATTATATTTTTTCCTCTTTATGCATTTATCGTAAATCGTAAAGAGAATTTCAATAAATCTATGTACCAAAATAAATTTCGTGTATACGTATACATACATCAAAAGAAACCGATAATATATCGAAATGTCATTAAAATAAATCCGTTGTGCCGCGGCAGAGAGAACGGCAAGAATTTTGAAATGCTCCCTAACTTTGTTCAAGTTCACGAGATGTTGTCGATCAAAAGTATTGTACAACTGTGACGAAACGAAATACAAATACATATGGATACACTTCTTATTTTCCATAGGTTGCAAGATTATAACTTGCAAAAAGTTCTGCACAGTCGAAAAAATTTCGACATTAGAAAAACTTCAACATGTATGGTTCTGGTCGTCTGCAAATTAAGCTGAAAAAAGGCGAAAATTACTCCTGACACTATCTGGTCGTCTGTTCAGCTGGTCCTCTGCAAGTGAACTTGCAAAAAAGAAAATGGGAAAGTTACTCCTGACATTATCTGATTCTCTGGTCGTCTGCAAGGTCACTTGCAAGAAAAAACGGGAAAATGTTTTTGCAAGGTAACTTGCAGACGAACAGTCGACCAGTTAATGTCAGGAGTAATTTTCACCTTTTTTTAGCAACTTAACTTGCAGACGATCAGAGGACTCCACGACCAGAGCATCAGAAAACATAGAATTTCAGAAATATTTTTTCGGATAAATTGAACTTTTTGCAAGTGATAATTCTGCAACCTCTCTTATTTTGTTCTCACAGAAATGAAAAAGAAAAACTTATGATTACAAGGAGAAAGAAATAAAGACAGAAGAGAAAAAATTAAGAAGTATATCCATATGTATTTGTATTTTGTTTCGTCACATTTGTACAATACTTTTGGTCGACAACATCTCATGAACTTGAACAAAGTTATTTTGTCTTGGTTGATGTTTAATTATGTTTTTATATGTTTTTAAATCCTTGATAAAATTAAATTTTATCTTTTCTTAATATTTTATGCCACTGAACAAAATTTAGCTAATAAATTGAAACGTCTGGCTTAGTACAATACTGTTACGAATAACAAATCTGGTATTGTACTGTTCAAAAAAAGTGCAGCGAAAATAGAAAATGTGTTTTTTAGCGATTCTTAATGTTACAATAGAGACAATAATGCATAATGTATGTGTATCCTATTAGCAGGACATCAAGAAAAGAAGAGAAACAAGCGAGTAGGAAAACAGGAAAATAGGAATTTATTTGTTAACAGCATATATACATAATTCAAAGACATCGGTAAAAATAGAATACGTGTAAATGAATTTTAACATTTTTCTTCATTTTGGAACTTGCCATTCCGAGATTTAATGCGACAGATGGGATGGACGTGAAAATGGAGATAGAAACTTAGACGGAGAGAGAAAAAATACTACGGAAATTATTTTGTAAGAGACAGTCCATACAGAAATCGAGCATACGTAGAAAAATGGCTTATGCGGTAAAAGATTAATCTCTGAGCATATTCATTCGATTCTTCGTTGAAAATGAGCCAGAAATCCAAATTTTGAAGCCTTAGAAACGTTTTCTTACGGACTTATGATATTTTTACGTGCGAAAATGTCTCAGAAATCGCGTGTTTTTTATTTTTATTTTTTCTCTTTTGTTCTGAGCTTCATGATTTTGAGCTATCTTGTGCGATCTTGGTCAACCAACTTATACGCTTCATAACATTAATTACATAAAGTCATCGAAAATGTTCACTTTGATGCCAAAGTTTCGACCAGAGGTGGGCGAGTCATGCCTTGCCACGGCTCGCGTGCAATTAAAGACCTGGGTATCTAAGGCTTTTTTAAAACATGGACAGTATCACGTATCATACATGAACTTTGAATTCCATTGATTATCATTATAACCAGAGATGTTTACAGAAGCGATTTTTAAGCAAAATTTTAGCCATACTGTTGATGGCCACACGGTGAAAAAATAACCGTCAAAAAAACCGTAAAAACCATAACCATCGAAAGAAAACCATATAGAAGAACCATGAAGTAAAAAACTACAGTATGAAAACCGTAAAATGCAAAAGTATAAAACAAAAACTATGGAAGTAAAACCGTAAAGGTTAAAACCATAGAAACAAAACCGTCCACTTTCGAAC